ATCAATCGCCCTCTACTTGACACCATATCAGTAACTTTGAAAATTTGAATGGCATGTAATCCTTTTTACATTAAAAAATATTCGATTTCGGCCGAGAATCGGCTAAACCTGTAGCTTTGATATCAATAAATGTAACACCCATATCTCGTATACCTTTCCGTACACGAAATACCGATGTCACATCATTTTTAAAATATTTCCTCTTTAGTAAAAACCCTTAAAATTTTGTTTCAAAAATTGTTAATTAAAATATTTAAGTACAATTATAAAACAATCATTGAACTATACTACCAAAATTCCAAGTTACATACATTCCAGAGCATTTTTCTTTTAATTCGATTACAGGCCACTAATTTATTTTTTTCCAAAAATAAACATGATTGTCCTACAGTTACTGTTGAGTCAATATTAATTGACGATATCCGCTGCTAGTGTTGTACTCCTTATTTGATTTGCTTTTCTTTTACCTACGCGTGGAAGCAACACACGTTAAGTATTTACTTAGTGAGGCAAAATATTTTAAGAAATCTTTATGAATACATAAATATGTCATATTTATTTGGCTCATACTAAATCGTATATTCTTTAAGGATCGTATAATCCTCCTCAGTTAAACCATTTTCCATTCACAATTGCCTTAATGATTTTTAGTACGCCTAGCATACCTATTTTCTTTATATTTTTCTTTTTCTATCTCTCTTTATTCATTATTCTTTATTTTCATTTAAATCATTCATTCATGCTTATAATGCATCATTATGCAATTTCATTTATGGCAACCGTTCATGCCTTTTTATATACTATTATACATTTTATTTATGGCATCATTTTATGTCTTTTATATGCCATTATAAATTTCATTTATGACATCTTTTCATGCCTTTTATACACCATTATACATTGTTATACATCTAGTCTTTTACTCAAAGCATTTAACATTTCATCTAACTGGCATGATTGATACATTTCTGTCAAATGCACAGCTAGGCTATTATTCTTTTACTCAACGGTACTTAACCGCTCATCTAACTGGCATAATTGACACCTTTCTGTCAAATACACAGTTAGGCCTCAAAGGCACTTAGCCTTTCATCTAACTGGCATAGTTGACACCTTTCTGTCAAATGCATAGTTAGGCCTCAAAAGGCACTTAGCCTTTCATCTAACTGCATAATTGACACCTTTCTGTCAAATAGACAGTTAGGCCTCAAAGGCACTTAGCCTTTCATCTAACTGTCATGATTAATACATTTATGTCAAATGCACATCTAGGCTATTATTCTTTTACTCAACGGTACTTAACCGTTCATTTAACTGGCATAATTGACACATTTCTGTCAAATGCACAGTTATGCCTCAAAGGCACTTAGCCTTTCATCTAATTGGCATAATTGACACTTTTCTGTCAAATGAACAGTCAGGCCTTTAATATTTTATTTGGAATAGTTTTAACTCTAATACTTACTTTTAATATCAATTAACTCTCTTTTAATTTATTATAATCCTTATACAGTTATACCCTTAGTGCTCACATGGTAATTTACCAACTTCTTATTCTTGTTCATTTATTAAGATGCACATGTAGTGCCTATACGGTAGTTCATCAAGAGATTCTTTCAATTCAATAAACACTTTATAGTTTACATCGATAGTGCTAATACCGTCATTTATCAAACCATCACTAAAATTTGTATAGTTTGAATACCCATTACCAATATAAAAAGCCATTTCCTTATTATGAATTTCTTAACATTTTATACACATATATTTCCTATACGGAAATTCATAAACTTAGTATGAATTTCTTATCATTTAGCACACAAAGTGTCCAATACAGAAATTCATACACTTAGTATGAATTTCTTAACATTTTAGCGCATGAAATGCCCTATACGGAAATTCATACACTTAGTATGAATTTCTTAACTTTATACACTTAGTGTCATTTGATAATCATCATTCTTACATTAATAATTAATATAACTATGACTACGGTAACATATATATACATAATTAAATGTACTCACTTGGCTTTCCTCGTTAAGTATCCAAACGTAAGGCTGACTACTCCGGTACTTTGCCTTTACCCTTAATTTTGCTTGTCTCGGGAGTTCGGTTCCGATCTACTCAAGTATCCATTAAAACATGTATCATACTCAATGTTAGTATATTTCCTAATCATTATACTTAAATCATACTCAAAAGAACATATCATTAACTTTCTATATCAATATCAACCTATTTTTAATATTTCTGGCTCCATAGTATCAATACTACTACCCTAGTACCGATACTTCTATGCTATGGTACCAATACCCCCTTTTTGTATTGATACAAATTTTAGGTTTGATGTTTCCTGGTATCGATACCCTTACCATGGTATCGATATTACCATGCTATGGTATCGATACCCCTTCCGGTATCGATACCAATTTTAGATTCGATGAGTCCTGGTATCGATACCAATTTTAGATTCGATGATTTCCTGGTATCGATACTCTTACCATGGTACCGATACTACCTCTTCAGTATCGATACTGATTTAATCAATATCGATACTACTCAACGAATTCATCCTATTTTAGCCTATAGTATCGGTACTGTTCTATCAATACCGATACCCTTGCCCAAATTTTCCAATTTTTACCCCGATTATTACACAATTTAAGTCAAATTTCATTAGGATTACCTCCCATAATTCTACTAAACTCTTCATTACTTATATATATTAACTTTCCCTCATTTAGATATTTAAAACATTTAGTATCCTTTAAGAGCATTTGATTCTAAAAATCACACCAAAATTTCTAACTTGTTTTTACACTCATCCAGTGCTTCTAATCTTTCATTTACCTATATGACAAGTCAATTCTACCAATAAACCTCAATAAACACTCATTTATTAGCATATCATTTAAAAATCCATTTTCTTAAATCTCTAATATTTTCCTTATCTCCTAGTTTTAATCCCATCTAATCCTTCCTTAAGCTTCTATCATGCTTAAGGCTTCTATCATGCTTAAGGCTTCTAAAAAACTAAAAGATAGATATCAACTTTTCCTCTTTTTCCCCATTTTTAAATCCCTAATAGGGATATATTTTAATTTCCCTCTTAAAAGACCAAAGTACCCTCTTTATTCATCTTTCTATACAATTTAGTTAAAAATACTATTCCCAATCAGTTTCTCATCTTTTAAAATTTATTCAATTAAATCCCAAAAAATTGGAATCTTTTCAATAAAGTCCCTTATACAATATTTGAGCCATTACAATTCTCCTCCTTAAGAAATTTCATCCTTAAATTAAAAAAAAACTTTATGCGTTTACTACACTACTACAACTAGAGGAATCGTTTTGGTTCGCGATTTCTGGATTTTTTTCTAATCCAGATCTGTATTGGTTCTTTTCCAGTAAACTGATAAAATCTATTAAGGTTCAATAATTCTCAAACCCAGTTCCAACCTCAATACTTACTTCCAAAGTGATACCTTCAGAAAACTTTACCATTTTCTTTTTACTCAATCATTTTTCTCTTCAGATTAGCATAAGAGCATAAGACTTTTGTAATTAGCACAATTATAGTACCGCTCACTATAAAAATTATAATGTAAAATATTTTAAGGCATTCGACTACGGTCGACTCTAATGCATGCATATATAATTCCTATTGTGAGTCTTTAACTTTATTGAGGCATATGCCACAACTTTTCCTTTGTGCATAAGCACACTTCCTAACCCGTTGATAGATGCATTAGTAAAAACTACATAATATTTACCAACTCCAATTGTATAAACATTGGTATCTATGTTACAATCCTCTTTAGTATTTCAAAACTCTCCTGACCCCTTTTTTCGTTCTACAAAAAGATATATCTTTCCTTAAAACTTGGTTTGCAGCAAAGCTAACATCGAAAAGTTTTTTTTTCACTAACCTTCGATAGTAAACTGCAAGCCCCAAAGAAATCCAAACTTTAGGATCATTCTTTGGGAGTTTTCAATTTACTACAACATGAGTTTTTCTTAAGATCTAATCTTATACCTTATACCGAAACAACATGGTTAAAGAAACCATCTCTTCTTACCAAAGTTTCACATTTGAATAGTTTGAAAAACAAGTTCTTCTCTCAAAGAGTCTTGTTTAACTGTCAAAATCTATGTATTACCACATAGATTTATCTTTCTTTTTGCTAATAACACACATACTTCCCAAGATGAAATACTCGAGTTGATAAAACTTTGATCAATCAACTCTTATAATTGAGTCTCTAATTCTCTTGACTCACTTAATTCATTTAATACTAACTCATAGAAACATGTTATATATATAGATATTTCTAACATCATTCTCCTCACAATCATTATCGATATCGTCTTGAGCGATGATTTTACTTTCTCACTAAAATTTATAATTTTCATACCCTCTACATCTTTCTGAAATAATCGTCTCTAGAGACAGACAACTTATTTCAATATGATTTTAACTCATCAATTGATAATTTCATCAAGTTCACCGGAAACATAGCCCCTGGAATCTATATCAATTGTTTACTACCTGTCCAGCTCATCTTTGCACCATGACCCACTAGGGTTTACTACTATCATCTCACTCGAGATTAATTTAAGTATAATACTATTATTCTAAAATATTTCATTTCCTTCTCGAGAAAATCTGTAACTTTCCAGATCTATTTAAAATATTCTCGAGTAATTGAAACATTTTATCTCTCGACTATGAAAGTCTAGTTATCCACTTTATTAAATAATAAGACTTAATAACTTTGTGGCAATAACCTCATAACAGTTAATGCAAAAAAAAAATATTAGTAACCAAATTTACTCTTAAACAAACTCATAATCACTTGATCCACTAATAATTCATCTTTCTATAGGCTTTTAGCGGTTAATATATTTACATCTTACTTTTTTCCTCTTACTCAAATTAACAACACTTTGAACAATTTACTGTTTCACTTAAATATTTCTCAATTAATTAAGCTTACCTGAATAAATTTCAGAATCATCAATATATTCAGAATCTCCTCTGGATCCTTATCTGATCCAACTTCTCTTATAAACCATTCAAACTTTTTAATAGATTCCCCAAATGCAGGATCATCGTTAAACACTAGGGTATTTCTTCCATAGAATTGAGGAAAATCCCTAGCAGCTTCTACTCTTTTTCGGCATGATACTAAAATCATGTCGAATTCTATTGGGTCGATTTTTATCTCAACCTTCTTTTATATCATCTATTTTCTTACTTTTGTCCTTAGTTTCTGACATCTATTAGAACATTCATAAGAATAACAATAAAGTTAATAATGAGTGATATCAATCGCCTTTTAATTGACACCATATCAGTAACTTTGAAAATCTGAATGGCATGTAATCCTTTTTACATTAAAAGACATTCGATTTTAGTCAAGAATCGGCTAAACCTGTAGCTATGATACCAATAAATGTAACACCCATATCTCGTATACCTTTCCGTACACGAAATATCGATGTCACATCACTTTTAAAATATTTCCTCTTTAGTAAAGACCCTTAAAAATTTGTTTCAAAAATTGTTATTTAAAACATTTAAGTACAATTATAAAACAATCATTGAACTATACTACCAAAATTTCAAGTTACATACATTCCAGAGCATTTTTCTTTTAATTCGATTACATGCAGTAATTTATTTATTTTCAAAAATAAACATGATTGTCTTACCGTTACTAATGGGTCAATCTTAATTGATGATATCTACTGCTACATTTGTACTCCTTATTTGATTTGCTTTTCTTTTACCTACGCATGGAAGCAACACACATTAAGTATTTACGTAGTGAGACAAAATATTTTAAGAAATCTTTATGAATACATAAGTATGCCATATTTATTTAGTTCATACTAAATCGTATACTCTTTAAGGATCCTATAATCCTCATCAGTTAAACCGTTTTCCATTCACAATTGCCTTAATGATTTTTAGTACGCCTAGCATACCTATTTTCTTTATATTTTTCTTTTTCCATTTATCTCTTTAGTCATTATTCTTTATTTTCATTGAAAACATCCATTCATGCTTATAATGCATCATTATGCATTTTCATTTATGGTAACTGTTCATGCCTTTTATAAATACTATTATACATTTTATTTATGGCATCATTTCATGCCTTTTATACGCCGTTATACATTTCATTTATGTCATCTTTTCATGCCTTTTATACACCATTATATATTGTTATACATCTAGTCTTTTACTCAAATCATTTAACCTTTATCTAACTGCATGATTGACACATTTCTATCAAATGCACAACTAGGCTATTATTCTTTTACTCAACGGTACGTAACCGCTCATCTAACTGGCATAATTGACACCTTTCTATCAAATACACAGTTATGCCTCAAAGACACTTAGTCTTTCATCTAACTGGCTTAATTGACACCTTTCTGTCAAATGCACAGTTAGGCCTTAAAGACACTTAGCCTTTCATCTAATTGGCATAATTGACACCTTTCTGTCAAATACACAGTTAGGCCTCAAAGGCACTTAGCCTTTCATCTAACTGGCATGATTGACATCTTTCTATCAAATGCACAATTAGGCCTCAAATGCACTTAGCCTTTCATCTAACTGGCATGATTGACATATTTTTGTCAAATGCATAGCTAGGCTATTATTCTTTTACTCAACGGTACTTAACCATTCATCTATCTTGCATAATTGACACCTTTCTATCAAATGCACAGTTAGGCCTCAAAGGCACTTAGCCTTTCATCTAATTGGCATAATTGACACCTTTCTGCCAAATGCACAGTTAGACCTTTAATATTTTATTTGGAATAATTTTAACTCTAATACTTACTTTTACTATCAATTAACTCTCTTTTAATTTATTATAACCCTTATACAGTTACACCCTTAGTGCTCACATGATAATTTACCAACTTCTTATTCTTGTTCATTTATTGAGATGCATACGTAGTGCCTATACGGTAGTTCATCAAGAGATTCTTTCAATTCAATAAACACTCTATGGTTTACATCGATATTGCTAATACCGTTTTTTATAAACCATCACTAAAAATTTTATAGTTTGTATACCCATTACCAATATAAAAAGCCATTTCCTTATTATGAATTTCTTAACATTTTATACACATGTATTTCCCATACGGAAATTCATAAACTTAGTATGAATTTCTTATCATTTAGCACACAAAGTGCCCAATACGGAAATTTATACACTTAGTATGAATTTCTTAGCATTTTAGCGGATAAAGTGCCCTATACAGAAATTCATATACTTAGTATGAATTTCTTAACATTTTAGCGCATAAAGTGCCCTATACGGAAATTTATACAGTTAGTATGAATTTCTTACATTAATAATTAATATAACTATGACTACAATAACATATATGTACATAATTAAATGTACTCACCTGACTTTCCTCGCTAAGTATCCAAACGTAAGGATGACTACTCCAGTACTTTGTCTTTACCCTTAATTTTGCTTGTCTCAAGAGTTTGGTGCCGATCTACTCAAGCATCCATTAAAACATGTATCATACTCAATGTTAGTATATTTCCTAATCATTATACTTAAATCATACTCAAAAGAACATATCATTAACTTTTTATACTAATATCAGCCTATTTTTAATAATTCTAGCTTCATAGTATTGATAAACTACCCTGGTACCGATACTTCTATGTTACGATATCGATACCCCCTTTTTGTATCGATACAAATTTTAGGTTCGATGTTGCCTGGTATCGATACCCTTACCATGGTATCAATACTACCATGCTATGGTACCGATACACCTTTCGGTATCGATACCAATTTTAGATTTGATGATTCCTGGTATCGATACTCTTACCATGGTACCGATACTATACTGATTGAATCAGTAACGATACTACTCAACGAATTCATCATATTTTAGCCTATAGCATCGGTACTGTTCTATCAGTACCGATATCCTTGCCTAGATTTTCTAGTTTTTACCTCGGTTATTACACAATTTAAGTCAAATTTCGTTAGGATTACCTCCCATAATGCTACTAAACTCTTCATTACTTATATATATTGACTTTCCCTCATTTAGATGCTTAAAACATCTAGTATCCTTCAAGAGCATTTGATTCTAAGAATCACACCAAAATTTCTAACTTGTTTTTACACTCATCCAATGCTTCTAATCTTTCATTTACCTCTAAGACAAGTCAATTCTACCAATAAACCTCAATAAACACTCATATATTAACATATCATTTAAAACCCCATTTTCTTAAAGCTCTAATATTTCCCTTATCTCCTAGTTTTAATCTCATATAATCATTCCTTAAGCTTCTATCATGCTTAAGGCTTCAATAACTAACCAAAAATAAAAGGATAAACCATCAATTTGAAATCTCACCTTTGTTATGGGGAGAGCTTGTCCACGGGAAAGAAGAGAAAAGAGAGATATCAACTTTTCCTCTTTTCCCCTTTTTAAATCCCTAATAGAGATATATTTTAATTTCCCTCTTAAAAGACCAAAGTACCCTCTTTATTCATCTTTCTATACAATTTAGTTCAAAATACTATTCCCAATCATTTTCTCATCTTTGATCATTTATTCAATTAAATCCCCAAAAATTAAAATCTTTTCAATAAAGTCCCTTATACAATATTTGGGGCATTACAAATAATATGTATACGCTTTTTATTTTTAAAAACTATAAAAACCATTAAAAACTATATATTATATGTTTTCAAAAATATTTTAAAAACTATATACTATATGTTTTCAAAAATATTTAAAAATATATATATTATACGTTTTCCAAAAATATTTTTTTAAAACTATATATTATATGTTTTCAAAGATAGTTTGAAAACTATATATTATACGTTTTCAAAAATATTTTTAAAAAAAACTATATATAATATGTTTTCAAAGATATTTTGAAAACTATATATTATATGTTTTCAAAGATATTTCAAAAACTATATATTATATGTTTTCCAAAAAATATTTTCGAAACCATATATTATACGTTTTCAAAACATATACTATATACTTTCAAAAATAACATTTGAAAAAATATATATATTATATACTAAAAAAATAAAACCATTAATGTCCCAGACGAAAATGGGTGTCTACAAATTATGAATAAATGTATGGCTAAGGCTAAGACTGAAACGAAACATGGACATGTACATGCAGATTTTGAGATATCTTTTTCATGTCAACACTGGGTGAGATGATTATTTAATTAGGATTTGATAGATTTTGATACGTCATCATTTGATAAGATTAAGGAATGGTTTCGTTCGAGTCGAATTAGGTCAGTTTTTATTGAGGGTGGGGTCGGATTTAGATTTATACTGAAAAATATTTGACCCGATATAAGGTAATAGTATAATCTTCTTCTATAAATTTAAAGATAATTTTTATAATGCCCTCACTAATAATTTTTTTAATTAAGTTTTTATTTAACGAATAATCTATATATATGTATATCAAGTTGGATTGGGTTGGATTCGGGTTTTTACTCTAAAATTTATATTAGATTGAATTCGAATGGACGAGATATGCTTCTTGAGTTGGATAGAGTCGGGTGAAAGAGATATATTTCTCGAACCAAGTTGATTCAGATGTAGATTTTTACTCTAAAATTCAGGTTGGATCGTATTTAGATGGAGAAAATATGTTTCTCAAGTCAGCTCGAATTGGATGAAAAGAATATACTTCTTGAATCAGGTCGGACGAAGATAATATGCTTCTTGAGTTGGATTGAATTGACAAAAAAATAAATCCAACCCGGCCCCCTCGCCTCCTCGGTCAATACTAATGATGAGATTAGTGGTATGTGTTCCAGAAATTCAAACCCACAGACTGGCTGCCCTGCTACCCAAATCCACAGCGGCCTGCGCGACACAACATATTCCCATCACAAATGTCGTTGGACCAATGAACTGTGTGTGCATGTGAGGTTGTAGGATTAGATGGGCAAGGAAAGAGCTTGTGAAGCGTGTTTGGTCAGATAATTGGGTGGACGGCTGAGCCTTCGCCTTCAAAAACCTTTGAGAAGATTTTATCGACACCCACTGGTTGGGTAATGAAAGGACAACCATATCCATCTTCTTTCATCACCCATGTTATGTTCTTTGGATTCTTCTCATAACGCGTTTGAATTGCGAAGTGG